CAGAGGATTAATTATGACTTGTTTTGGATGTTAGGCTTATGAAATTTTAGTTGAGTTTGCTTTAAGTATTTACTCAGATTGAATTTCATTTCAAGTTATATGGTCCATTGATTTTGTTTGACAGGGTTGATGATGCTCGACAACCTATGAGTCGGATTGTACCTATTTCTTCATCTCAATTGACCCCTTATCGCGTTGTCATCGTACTCCGGCTGATAATTCTCGGTTTCTTCTTGCAATATCGTGTAACTCACCCAGTAAATGATGCATATCCACTGTGGTTGACATCAGTTATCTGTGAGATTTGGTTTGCCTTATCCTGGATTTTGGATCAGTTTCCAAAGTGGTCACCCATTAATCGCGAGACTTATCTTGACAGGCTTGCTATCAGGTTTGGATTGATCGACTTCTCTGCTCTTTTGGGCTTGGCTTGGCTTAACTACGATGCGACATTTTCTACTCCGCTAATCTTTGTTTGTCTTGTGTAGATACGATCGTGACGGAGAACCATCACAGTTGGCTCCTGTTGACGTTTTTGTCAGTACAGTGGACCCTCTCAAAGAGCCGCCTCTTGTCACTGCAAATACTGTTTTGTCTATACTCTCTGTTGATTACCCTGTCGACAAGGTTTCCTGCTATGTATCTGATGATGGTTCAGCTATGTTGACTTTTGAAGCCTTATCAGAAACAGCTGAGTTTGCAAAGAAGTGGGTGCCCTTTTGCAAAAAACACAATATTGAGCCTAGAGCCCCTGAGTTTTATTTTGCCCAGAAGATTGATTACTTAAAGGACAAGATTCAACCTTCTTTTGTTAAGGAGCGACGGGCAATGAAGGTTTGTTTTGAGGCATCATTCATGTTTTCATTTCCAGTTCAATAATTATATCTAGACATATTTAGCATACCAAGAGAGAGTATGTGTGTAGAAAATTAAATATGGATATTTGTGCTTATCAGAGAGAATATGAAGAATTCAAAGTAGGGATCAATGCCTATGTTGCCAAAGCTCAGAAGACGCCAGAGGAAGGTTGGACAATGCAGGATGGAACTCCTTGGCCTGGAAATAATTCTAGGGATCATCCTGGAATGATTCAGGTATTATATTTTTCTCTATAATTGCACATAACCCCGCTGTTATTGATATTTTCAGTTTAGTTATATTATTTTGTGGTACGCAGGTGTTTTTAGGTCATAGCGGAGGGCTTGACACAGATGGTAATGAGCTGCCTAGGCTTGTCTATGTTTCTCGTGAAAAGCGGCCTGGCTTCCAACATCACAAGAAGGCTGGAGCTATGAATGCTTTGGTTTGTCATACTGAATTTTTTTTTTAATGTTTTCGATGGTGTTGTCTGCTTTATTTTGGTTGTGTCCTGCTCTTGTCTTGTGTCTTGTTTTTGTTTCTATCGAGTCTATGTCCTTGATGTGGCAGTAATATTGATTAGAAAGATAGGGTGATTAGAAAGATAGGGTGATTAGAAAGATAGGTTTTGAACGTATCTAACCTTGGTTTATTTCGTGTGATGTAGATTCGAGTTTCTGCTGTTTTGACCAACGGTGCATATCTTTTGAATGTTGATTGTGATCACTACTTCAATAATAGCAAAGCTCTTAAAGAAGCAATGTGTTTCATGATGGATCCCACTTATGCAAAGAAGACATGCTATGTGCAATTTCCTCAGAGATTTGATGGCATTGACTTGCACGATCGATATGCCAATCGCAATATTGTCTTCTTCGATGTACGTCTTTATTCTTTTGTAGTTTTTCCAATTTTGTAACTAAGAATCTTTCTCTTGCATTACTCTGCTGATTTGGCTGAACATCGTTTTTCTGTCCTCCGTCAGATCAACATGAAAGGTCATGATGGTATTCAGGGCCCAGTCTATGTGGGAACTGGTTGCTGTTTCAATAGGCAAGCTTTGTATGGTTATGATCCTGTTTTGACTGAGGAAGATCTCGAACCTAACATTATTGTGAAGAGCTGTTGTGGTTCTAGAAAGAAGGGAAGGGGTGGCAATAAGAAGTACGGTGACAAGAAGAGGGGTGTCAAAAGAACCGAATCCACCATTCCCATATTTAATATGGAGGATATAGAGGAGGGTGTTGAAGGTATGGTATATAAGAAGTTCTTGCCCTTTTAGAACTTAAAATTTAATTTTCATGTAAGAAAATTGTTTGATGTAACTTGTTTGTCAGGTAAACTTAGATTGTCTAAAAAAAGATATCACATGTCTTTTTGCAGGTTATGATGATGAAAGGTCACTTCTAATGTCTCAGAAGAGTTTGGAGAAGCGTTTTGGACAGTCACCAGTTTTTATTTCTGCTACCTTCATGGAGCAGGGTGGCATTCCACCTACAACCAATCCTGCAACTCTTCTTAAGGAAGCAATACACGTTATCAGCTGCGGTTACGAAGACAAGACAGAATGGGGCAAAGAGGTGAGCATGTCTATTTATATCTTGTTGGCACAGCGTATATTAATTCAATCCTAAGAAATATGTGTGATTGATGAGAAGGTTGTTTATTTAGCTATTAATAATCATTTTCTGATTTCACCAGATTGGATGGATCTATGGTTCTGTGACTGAAGATATCTTGACTGGGTTTAAGATGCATGCGCGAGGTTGGATTTCCGTCTATTGCATGCCACCTCGTCCAGCATTTAAGGGTTCTGCACCCATCAATCTTTCTGATCGTCTCAATCAAGTGCTTCGGTGGGCCTTGGGTTCAATCGAGATTTTCCTTAGCAGGCATTGTCCCTTATGGTATGGCTACAACGGAAGGATGAGGCCTCTCATGAGGCTTGCTTATATCAACACAATTGTCTACCCCTTTACCTCACTCCCGCTGATTGCGTATTGTACACTTCCTGCATTTTGTCTTCTCACAAATAAATTTATTATTCCCGAGGTAAACAATTTCTTTTATCTTATTTCTGGCTGTTGAACTTATAAGTTATAGCTACTGATTCTGGATCCTGACGTTTGGTTAATCTTATGCAGATAAGTAACTTTGCAAGTATGTGGTTTATCCTTCTCTTTATATCCATTTTTACCACTTCAATTCTCGAGCTAAGGTGGAGTGGTGTCGGTATAGAAGACTGGTGGAGAAACGAACAGTTTTGGGTTATCGGTGGAACATCCGCACATCTTTTCGCCGTGTTCCAAGGGCTTCTCAAAGTGCTTGCAGGGATTGACACAAATTTTACTGTCACATCAAAGGCATCAGACGAAGACGGGGACTTCGCCGAGCTATACGTGTTCAAATGGACATCACTTCTCATCCCTCCCACAACAGTGCTTATTGTGAACTTGGTAGGTATTGTGGCTGGTGTATCTTTTGCCATAAACAGTGGTTACCAATCTTGGGGTCCACTATTTGGAAAGCTTTTCTTTGCCATATGGGTTATTGCCCATTTATACCCTTTCTTGAAGGGTCTATTGGGGAGACAAAATCGTACTCCAACGATCGTTATCGTCTGGTCTATTCTCCTCGCTTCTATATTCTCCTTATTGTGGGTCAGGATTGACCCCTTCATCACTGATCCCAACAAAGCATCAGCCAATGGTCAATGTGGTATCAACTGTTAGTTTATCTTGAAGATTCATTTTGTATTTTTACCACACCCCTTTTGATTTGGAGAGACATTCAAGATTGTAGAAGTGTATATAAACAAGAATTCAGCTTGGAGTTAGTCCTATTTATGCATGAAAAAATAGGATGGGAGATAAAGTTATAAACCAGCATAGCTTGCTTTCTTGTTTCTTTTGTTTATTTATTCACATGTTTCCCCTTTGGGGTCCTTACAAGGAAAGTTATGTTGAGAGGTGTCAATGTTGTATTTTTTGTTCACATAGTATAAAATTTGTTTATGACAGTAATATAGTTAAAGCAAACAATGTGTAATGTACTGTTTAGTGGTTTTGTTTAGTGTGGCTATAATGGTGTCTTACATGTGATGAACATTGGATATGATATTTTGACGGTCTGGGTTGTGTTAGTGACCAAGACCAAGCTTTGTTTTTTTTAATGATTTGCACGAATGTCCTTTCTTCAGCTCACTTTCTGATGGCTGCCATGATCATGGTTCCTTTGTTACCATCTTTGAAAAATATAAATTTTATGTTTAGCTGAAAAAACACCTATGCTCTATACTCTGCCTCTTAAAATGGCTTTTCCAGCTTATCAATGATTTTCTAGGAAAAAAACAAAAATTCCTTTCTAGTGTTAGGACATGCCCCCCTCCCCCCAAATCATAACCAGAGAAATCCTCGAGGTTAAGTGCACAGTAGTTAATTTTTACTACTGGACTAAAGGTGTGCATGTAGTCAATGCCGTCAGTTTGTGTGAACCCTTTCGCAACTACTCTTATGTATCTCTCAATAGTTCCACTAACATGTATTTGCAGCCAAGGACTTCCTTATGTGGAGGAAATCGAAAAAGGTTATAGGTATTAGTTTTCATAATAGCAGTTAACTCAATTTTGATAGGATTCTTCTAATACTGTAGGATGCTGAGGCATATGGTGAGGATTATGGACATCACCAAAAAAATCATATAAACAAGTAGGATTGTAGTCTTGAGATGTAATCTCATGTGCAATATCCTCATATGGTTCTAACCGGTGAGGAAAAGTGTGCTCAAAGAATATGACATCTCTTGAGATAAAAATTTCTCTTTTAAAACACAAACTCCTATTATGCAACATACTATTCTCAATAGAAATTAACTACAAAATTATGACTGGTGAGTTGTATACAGTAAATAAGATTACAAAGAAGATTTTGACCCTGAAGACATGCAGCCAAGACACACTGAAAAACCTGGCGGCAACATAAATAAACAAAAAAAATCATCATTTCATCCTAAGATACTTATAAGTGTGATTTTTGCGGGGGGGGACGGAAAAATCCAACAATACAAGAAAACCGCATGCTTGAAAAAGGTATGCAGCAGTTCCACAACTTGGCTTCAGTGGAAACAAAAACACTTGATTCATTCTATTCCTCTTCGTCATTATCAAGTATCTTCTTGCATGCTTCGTAACACATGAAAGAGATTCCCGCGGCTGGCACTAACTTCATGCAACTAGGTCCAAGCCCTCTATATAGACCCTGGATCCCTTCTTTTTCTAGTATGCTAACAAGTGCATGAAGCACATCTTTGTAAACCCGTCGTCCACTGAGAGCTCCAACTTGCATTTGCTTGCGAACCACCTCAAGTGGAAAAGTCGCAGTACTTGAAATAGCACCAGCTGCTGAGCCAATCAAAAGGGTTTCAATGTTGCCAATCTTCTCTTGTTTGAAGAATTTTCGGTATGCCTTGCGTAGTGTGTCGTAGGCAAAGTAATTGGTAGCTGAATATGGAATAACACCAATAAGACTAGGAGTAAGGGCCTCTGTATAGTTCTGCAAGACCCTCTTCTTTAATAATTTTCACGAATGCGTCAAGGAGACCATTATAAACACCTCTCTGCAATATCACTAATCAAGCTTAAATATCCCCCTTCTATTTTTAAATGTGATGCTAAAACATTAATACGGGAAATCAAACTTATGTATATCTGTTTGGATAAAACACATAAATCAAGCGCTTATAGCATAATGTTTGTATATATTCTTGCAAAAGTGAGTTGAACAGTTAAATTCAGTGTAAAAATCACGTTTAGACTCAACCAAACATACACCGAGTTATGTCAGTAGATAAACTCAAATAAGTCAATCCAAACGAAACTGATATTATATGCGCATACCTGGATAGTTAGTCTAGTCTTGAGTAGTTCAAGTGGATATGTGCATATAGTTGAACTCACTCCAGCACAAGCACCTGCAATCAATGATGCAGGAACCGGGAGTTTGGACTGCTCCCCAGGTTTTGCAGATAGGTTCTTGTTTACCGTATCATAAGCAAATAGCTGCAGAAATAGTAGAAGATAAATTGAGATAAAGAAGAACTAAACTTAGACTATAGATTCATTTATCATATTCGTATGATAACAGGGATTAGGTTTACCTGTTAGAATGAACAAATTAACGTGCGGATAATTATGCACAGACTAAAAGAGAGATACTTGCTCATTGACTTACCTGATGAGCAAAGCACCATCATATGAAAGTTTTCT